ACACATATTTGGCCATTCAGCAAAAATTGAGAGAGCTTGGTTGGGAAGTATTAATGCATCCACCATAATAGTCCTGACATTGCACCCTCAGATTTTCATGTTTCGGTCTCTTCAGAATTCTTTCGGTAGTGTTAGGTTAACATCAAAAGAGGACTGTCAAAACTACTTGTCGCATTTTTTGATCAAATATCTCAAGATTTCTACAGCAACGGGATTATGTCACTACCTACAACCTACCTACAAGAGCAACAAGTTATCAAACAAAATGGCACATATATATTATATTTAAATGTAATTAAGCTTTGAAAAAAAATGTCTTGAATTTGTATATAAAATATGAAAAAACTTTTTCCCTCACAGTTTACAAAATATAGTATTAACAGTAGGTATTATAGTATTGATAGTATTAACTCGTACATGTTAAAAAAGTAAAATTACGAATACATTTCCTTGATCGCCACAGACAGACATTTCAGTTTATTCATCTGGTATTACTACATCGTGATATAATATGTTAAACTATTAATTTAATTCGTGTATTACATATAAATATATACCAATTTATATGCAAGAATACCTGGCTACTACGCTACGAGTATTGGGTTCGAATCTCAATTTGAGCGAAGCGAACATTTGTGCAAAAAGAAATTGTTGGTAAGAATTAGCTGATCGGTCTGGTTACGTTTTAATTAGACTCCTTTGCAACATGGGAGCATGGGGGCAACATGCAAGATTCCTACTGGCTAAAACGCCACAATGTTCCTCTCTTCGCCTTTTTTCGTATTTACAGGATCGCTTTCGTGCACTATTGCGGCCCCGGCTGCACATCGGATCTTTCATTACAGGTTCCTCCTCATCGTGAAATGAAGCTAAAGTTTTCTACTCTTTTCCTACATGTCGGAGTGCACGACACCACACTGTGCTCCATTTCAAGCCTTACCTATATGTAGGGCGACGGATCACGACCGTGTCACCCGCCTAGACTAAGGTTTTACTTTAAAACGTATAAATATCGCTACACCCTAAAACTAAACGTATAAATATCTAACAATTTGTAACTGCATTAATAAATTTTGAGTTGGTTATACGTTTTATATAAATAAATAATAGGATGTTAGAATTACTGCCTCTGTACAACAAATACTAAGCACTTTAATATTTCTTGCGCAGCTTTCGATTATTCGGAAGTTGCCACCGTGATCTAATTCTATCATTAGAACTTCATTTATAAGATAACGAGTATACCTGTCATCGTTCAGGCTACACATATGCTTTGACAGGTGTGTAAAATGCACAAGCTTGTAAAATATTCGCAATTATTAAGAAATTATCTACAAATGTTCATTTGAGCTCTTTAATATGGTAGGGGACAACTTAATACGTATCCCGAATATGTCGCAGCGACACAGTTGAGGCACGGTGGTACCTTTCACGGATATGTCGCAAGCGCTGAAAGGCGCGGGCGCCAGGGCCGGCGGCGCCGGCACTACGATGTATTTTCCGAACCACCTTTCAACGCTCGTCTCGCATCGACCGACGGAAACAACGCGTTAATTCCCGTCATAAAATCAGTTTTAGAATTCGGGTTATTTACTTGTTTTTATTTTAGTTTCATGATAATTTTAAACGTCGGTCCGAAGCCAATTAGATCACGTGAAAACGAAATCTTAAGGATCGGCCGCGTAAAAACATCTCGCCGTGATATATTATGTTTCACTATTCCAGCGGCTTCAGTGATAAAGAAAGAGTATATCTAAACTATTATTATAAGGAGGTTAAATTTGTTTGCATGTAGGGGAAAATCTCCGGAACTACTGGACCGATTCTCAAGATTGTTTATTAATATACATCTTCCCTGATATTTTGTTTGATAAATATAAATTATTAGAGTTCGAAATTAAATAATTTTGAAGTCAAATTGGAAGAACGTGTTAAATTACTATTTAGCTACTTTACATATATCGGCGTGTGCTGATGAAAATGGTTGGATAATACGTGAAAATAATGTAGGTACTAAAAATTGTTAATCGTCAGTAAATCTAAATAAAGTCCACCGACACGAAAATATGTACCTTATATGGGCACTAATTTCTACGCGCGGTTTCGCATGAAAAATGTACCTGTTGTGCCTAAAAGTAGCATTTCTGTTATTGCAAATTATATTTTCTACATTATTTGTTAAGTGTCATCACAATCCATTCAGTAGTTTCAACGTTATATTATGGTTATATAAAAATATTACATAAATCTTCAAATCCATACCTTTTTACCTTTATAGGTGATAGATAATTTATCGTTTAATTTGTACTGTGGACTTACCTTCATAAAGGATAAATTTTTGAACGGATGTGAGTGAACATCGCAATTACTAAAGTTAGCCTAATAGACAGATCTAGCGATCCGCTTTGGTTTCGTCTGGATGGGATCTATGAATGTGGCATCATTTAGATTTTTTAAATAATCGTCAATGATCATTAAATTTATTCTATTAATTTTTCCATTTTACAAAAAAATCTTCAAGTTTTACAAGATCTAAGATTCTAGAACTAATATTTAAGATCACTCCTGGCATTCCTCTCTATCTGTTCGTAACGTTTAATCACAGTTGGTTCAGCTTTCGAAGATTAGCTCGAACGGACAGACAGGTAGACAGACAAAAAATAATAAATAATGGGTATTTATGTCTTATTTACATGCGAGTAAACCTTTGAGCTCGATAAAAGGCAGTTATTTCGATATTACAGACTACAGACAAACATTTTTATTTTATTTATGTGTAAGTATTGTTTATTCTTATAGGTACTTTATTACGCACACCTTGGCTAATTAATTTTTAACATTTTTACGCCTCATTCTATTTATTATCTTGAATGTATCAATCAATGCAGGTTGTATTATAGTACGGCAAGTGACCACGGCTCATACTTATCTCTCACATTCCCGCGTCTGCCCGGTAGACGTTTAGTTATGAGTTAATTCTGTTATCATCATCATGATTACAACCCATCTTTGTGGGATCCAGGTCGTTACTCCATCTAGTTGAGGGCCGTGTTACACTTTTTTATATAGAAAAAGGGTGACAAACGAGCACACGGTCCACCTAATGGCCCATAATCATCCACGTTTATTTTCGATTAAGAATCAAAATGCAGATGCGTTGTCACCCCTGAGAAGCAAGATGGAATGCCTCGTTTCCAGTAAAAAGGGTCTCCGGTTCTCTACTCTCACTATACGAAACACAGCAGCATTAAGCTGCAATTTTACGCCGGTATTCTGTGTACCCCAGTCGAGTTGACCCATTCGTGCTACACCCAAATATAGCTGCAGCGTAGCTCTACCACGGTTTGCTTACCGGTACATGGTCGTAGACAGTCAGTTATAGTCAAAATAAAATATATCAGCTTCCAAAAAGTAATAACATTGCTTTTTGGATGCAACAATATTCACGTCCGCTTGAATCCGAACCATAACGTCTTAATAAACATGCAACAAGTAACTGACACTTGCAAACAACGACTATGTAAAAACCTACAATATCCTTAATTATTGCCACAAACAGTACTTTCTATAATATATGCAAATGATTATAAAGATTATTTTCATTTTCAAATAGCCACAAAATAGATAAGTAGAGATTTTCATTGTATTCTAAACATGGAAATACCATAGCTGTTCATGGTTACAGAGGGCTCTTTTGACACTTGTTCTTATGCAACTTATGAATTATTTACTATTTTCTAGTTATCCTCGGCACTGTATTCGAATTTAGTTAATGTTAAATTAGAAAATACATTCGACATTTTAAAAGAAGCAATCGCAATAATTATCAATAGTGAAATATTTTTCCATAAATTTCAACATCGATAATCTTGAAACGAGATAAGATTTAAGGGCATGTGTTTCATCCTTCTATTCCGAGGTAAGATAATATGGTGCTATTACTTCGAAAATGCATATTAAATACATAGAATTGACTAATATTTTAATTGAAAGGTCTTTTAAATTTTATGCTTTTCTAAACTACACGCTCGTAATTCTGACTTTTTGTCATGTGCACAATTACCACTTATTTAATTAATTATATAACTTACGGAACTGAGACGTGGTCCTGCACTGCTGGCCGTATGAGGAAGCTCAAGGTCGCTCAGCGAGCTATGGAGAGGGCTATGCTCGGGGGTTCTCTGCGTGATAAACTTAGAAATGAGGATATCCGTAGTAGAACCAGAGTGAGCGACATAGCCCAACGGATTACTAAGCTGAGGTGAAGTGAGGTGAGGGAAAAAAGGTTCTCGATTGGCAACCTCGTATCGGTAGGCGAAGTGTAGGGCGACCCCCCACTAGATAGAGTGATGATATACACATAGTATAGCTGTAATATTTAGTATACTACGCATGGTTCTTATTCACATTTAAATTAAAAAGATCAAAAGTTACCCGGATGCAATTATTCAAAAAAATTATTGTTATCCGGACGATGGCCATGGTATTTGTTTTATCGATATTATAATTCTAGCTGTTTCCCGTGACTTCGTCCGCGTTGAATTTACTACGGTTGAATTTAAGTGGATTTAAAAAAAGTTACCTACGCTAGAAAAGTTGCTTCAATTACTCCTTATAACATCAGCTATCTGCCAGTGACAGTCCCGTCAAAATCGGTGCAGCTATATCGGAGATTAACCGGAACATAAAGACAGACAGACAGGCACAAATATTTTAAAAATCGAAATAAAAAACATCGTTATAAGTACCGTATATACTTTCATATGCATTTAGTAAAAGTCTGTTACTTTGACATTACAAACAAACACTTCAATTTTATTTATCTGTATGGATATAATATAATGCTTAAAGGACTTTATTAGATAATGTGCATATTAAAAATGTCAGAAATACGGGCCTGTAGTCTAGAGAAACAGATTTAAAAGAAATGTCAAATAGAGCCTAATTATAAGTAAATATATTGTAAGCAAGGTATATAATTTGAACTATACTATATTTACCTGCCGGTGTCGCAGTGGCTATAGTCTGTGGGGCTGCGGTCTGTGTGAGAAGGGTCTCGGCGCTCTGCGCCGCAAGGGTCTTGCGCGGGTCTTCCCACGTCGTAGTCTTTGTTATGTGACTGCAATACAACATTAATTTACAAATTAACATAAAGGAACATCTTTCGTGTAAAAAAATCTTCTATTGTTAAAACATAAATTCACTTATTTTAAATAAATTCAAATGTTGTCGAAAGATATTTAAACATATTGATATTTTTAATATTACAATAATGAAGACGAATAGGAGAAATCGAAGACATGTGAAGTTCGCCAACACGCATTGGGGCAGCGCGGCGGACACTTTGCCCTAAAACGCTCTCATAAATGAGAGGAGGCCTGTGCCCAAGAGTGGGACGTATTATAGGCTAAAACGACGATATAAGGCAGCAATATCTGCATAAAATGTTCTAAAATATTAAATCTAATAATGATGAATAATGAAATAATGATTTAACTGCTGTACGCATGTGCATTCCCTATGTTTTTCAATATTTACTTTGCCGCAGTAATTACCCAAAAGTGCATGATTTGGTAAGTGATATTAAAATTTAAAAAGTATAAACATATATATCTCTTCAATTTCAACTAGATATTAGTGTTTTATGATTGGTTCACTTCATACCGTCCATATGGCGTATGAATGTGTGGTAGAGCCATGCTGCAGCTATATTTCTGGTATAGTTGTAACACGAATGGGTCGGCTCGACCGGGGAAGAACCACGCTCTCACAGAATACCAGCGTAAAATAGCAGGTTAATGCTGCTGTGTTTCGTATGGTGAGTGTAGAGAACCGGAGACCCTTTTTACTGGAAACGAGGCATTCCATCTTAGTCCTCACGGGTAACAACGCATCTGCATTTCGATTCGTAATTGAGGATAAATGTAGATGTCTATGGGTCACAGCAACCACTTACCATCAGGTGGACTGTGTGCTCGTTTGTCATCCTTATCCTATAAAAAAAAAATGGGATAATTTACCTCAATGGCGCATTCGATAACGCTTTTTAAATAACAAACTACTCATCTAAATAAAAAAAATTGTTGCAAGAAATACCGAGAAAGGATTGTTCTTTTTACTGTATATTTATAAGTATTGTTTTAATGATACTCAATGTAATTTTTACATTAATTTAACAATAAATGTACTATAATAATATTATATGACTTTAGTTTTAAATGGTTACTAATTACTAATTAAGCACCAAAACAACTTATATTAATATTGTTACAAAACGAGAACTTTATAGTTTTCCCGAAACGCATCAATTTACTGAGAATGAGGTAATTATAATTTTAAATAATTTATTTTAATTATTAAATGAAGGTTACTTCTGCAAAATTTTATCAAGGGTTTTATTTGGATTTACACATGGCCAAAGTAAGTAACAAAGCCGAATATTGCTGCTTAGCGGTCAATGTAACCAATTTGCAGGTAAACCGGACGTACCGTGTGCGACCTAGTGAATAAACAGCCACCGCCATGATGAGCTCTTTTACTTTCTTTACACTGAAAGTAGGCGCTTGTGACGTAAACATTCGCTAAGTCTTTTTTAATTAAGTATTTTAGATGATCTTCAGCACTCTGTCTATGAAATCTATCGTTAATTTATGATATCATACATTTGGGCCATTTTGTCTACTACATCCAGTTGCGTCAAGTTTGAACGTCGCACCGATAAGTCCTGGTAGAGCTTTGCCTCTAAAAGACCTCAAGAAAGGCACTTCCACTCACTCTTAAAAAAAAGCTTATGGACATGTGCATTCTCCACACTTGATCTTTAACAGGACACCAGGGCTTTGAGGTATGCCATTGAACAATGGAACGTAGTTATCTTGGGAGTTAAGTTGTAATAGTATAGTAGTAGAATAGTAATATTATAGTAACGCAGACGTTGGTTATAGAGTCGCCTTACTGAATGAGAACTGGGCCGTACATATCTGCCATATGTTGGATGTTCCGGGAAATGGGTCCTACACAATGTTACGCGACAACGCGGTAGGCCCCGGAAAAAATGGCGGGATGAACTGGACAATTTCTGTACCGATTGGACACAAAAATCATGAAGAGTGGGAAAAGGTGGGCCTTTGCCCTGCAATGTAAGTACATAACAAACTTAAATTAATATAAAATAAAATAATTATTGTTTTGGTTAGGTAGGTTACTTAAGTTAAGCTTTTGTCATACCATTAATTATTAAAAAAAATGTATGTTACGTTGTCAGAAAAGCAATGTAGTCTTTTCATAATCTTACCCGAAAAAAATTACCGATTTATCTAACGTTTACTGAAGTTTTTCTATAATATGCTTTGTGTTATTTCAACCGGGTTATCCCGTATTGTCTTATATATAGTAGGTAGCTGTAGTGGCCAACCACTGTACAGCTAATAAACGGAGAGGCAGAGCCAAAAAAGTGTCTGAATTTATTAAGCCTGGTTTTTCCTCAGGTGATTATAATATAATATAATAATATAAGGCTGAATACATATGGCTTAAAGTAGTGGGCTGACACGTAGTAACCACTCTGATGCAAGTGGTAGGGCCGGGGGTAAGTGGGAATTTTTAATTTTTGATTTTAATTGATTCAAGCCCACGTCATATACCTACTGACCTTGTTCTAGTGAGTATGATAATCACACTAGAGAATACGCAGAGTAAGTGAAAAGTAAAGTAATACTTAAAAGTTAAGATATAACTTCCTATCAATGAAATTAACTTCCCCCGTCGAACCGACCCATTCGTACTACAACTATACCACTAATACAGCTGCAGCATGGCTCTACCACATAAAAAAGTTGAGTTTGATAGATACAGTATGTTTACAGCTAAAAATACCATTAACTAAACAATATCAGTACTAGAACTATTGATATCTTAATGTCCGCTTTGACATTCTACATATAATAAAAATGTCCAACAGCCAATGGCATGAACGAAAATAATAAGAAACACAGATTTACGTAGGCGCACAACAAAAATTTGTACAACTAGTATGCGAAAATAAATAGATTTTCTGACCGCAAAGCAAAGTCAATTTATAACATTAGATTAGCGCCTCTCTAATGTAAAAGATAAGGAAAATGTTTTGTATTGGAAAGCGAGAAAGGGCGTAACCACGAAGAATCGATTTTCACGGAACGGTAATGAACTTGGCCGCACTATCAGCTGTGCCCGATGTCACGCTAAACTTGCGGCTACGCCATGCGCATGCTGCACCTGCCTAGCCTAGCCTTTGTAGTTTTTTTTTATTATAATTGCGATTAGATTACCCCGCACAAAGCAATATGAAAATTATATGCAACAGCTATGGGGCAAAGTGGTATTCTCATGAAGCTTTCCTAACTTCATTGTGTCTTCTACTAGCTTTTGGACTGCAATGGTTGTAATTAATAACTGATATTTAGTTTTCCGTTTTTTTTTTTATAAAAGTAAAGGATGCCAAACTAGCGCAAAATCCACGTGGTATGTGGATGCTTTAGCCCACAGACACTACATCTATCCTTGAGTAGGATTCAAAAACGTTGCAAAATTAATTACGAATATGAAATGCCTCGTTAAAAAAAAAAAAGGCTTTCCGGTCCTTGACTACACAACAGAAAGAAGAAAAGAACTTCTTTGAAGCCTGCTAGTTCAAAAATTTAGCCAAATTGTTAAATGTGTCTGATGACTCCACTCGATTGAGAAAGTAAAAAAAATGCATCCTTTTGCTATCTTCATATGGATACAATTAAAACCTACATCGAAAGAAATGTAAATTTTTTCTAATACGATCAATCTTTTAAACCTATGTCATCTACTCGTATCATGTGTCATAGACCACAGAAATAAATCAGAACGGTTCTTGTATGACAAAAATTCCCTAAAATAGGAAAAAGATTAAATATATTTCATAACGATAAAAATCATGAATTTAACACTGTACTTAATATTCTTCTCCATCACCGGCCCGTAAAAGTCGACCGCTGGAAATGAGCCTCATACAACAGTTACAGTTCACCCTATTAAAGTCCACTGCTGAACATAGGCCTTCCCATAGATTGCCTCATAGGGGAGATTTGCCATGGTTGCCACGCTTGGAAAGCCGGTAAGCGGGCTTTATTTTTAGTCGCTGCCCATTTCCTGATTTGTTTCCTGTTGTCGCTTCTTATGACACCCACAAGATGAATGAGCCTTAATATTCTTCTTTTCTTCTTCTTTCTTCTCTTCACTCATGTAGGAATGATTTCCCTTAATCATCTCGCTACGTGGGCTTATTAACGGTTGTACTAGACGTGTTGCGCATTCGGCGCTGCTACCCGTCGCCAGTGTGGCTATTTTACGTCTGGCGTAAACAAGATGGTCACACCGCCATCTATCGGAAGCCTTTTCAGGACAAAATGAGGTGGTAGATTGTTTTACGCCGCCCCTTGACAGCAACACCGATACAGCCTCTCAAAAGGGTCTACTGCTAAATTTAGGACTCCCCCATAAATTGTCTCATACGGGGGATATTTGCCATAGTTGCCATACTTTACAAGCGGGTCGACAACTACAGTTTTTTTAAAAGTTGTTAAAGGAAAACGCTGCAGCCCATCTCCTGGTTGTTTTTACCCTCTGTCACCTCTTATACCATGCTACAATTTGAAGAGCATCGTTATGCAATTTCAGCAAATAATGCGAAACATATTTCATTGTGTAGAGAACACGAAAAATTTAAAAAGTCACATTGAGGAAAACTTCCTACGGATATAATTATTGTGACATGAAAACAAACAAGGTATCATAACAACAATATTAAGACGCTTTATAAGTTAACCTGTTCAAAATAAATAAAATCGAAAAGACTTCTTCGATCTTCGATCGAAAAACGACTCTTAATAGTTCCTGGTTTTAATTTATTTTGTATTAATACAACATAGCTTGTTCGAAAGGAATGATAATATCAATTATAATAAAACGTAACTCTTATTCCTAACCATATAAAGCAAGTGGGTATGACATTTACAAAGGAAGGTAGGTACTTACATATTTAATTATATAATTGTCATGTTGTTGGAGCTAGGTCTTTGTATCAATAACCCAACAACAGCGTTATTACGC